CCTTAGAGCTCCAGCCACTCTTGTTGAACAAAAATAGCAATAATGTTTACCGAGCATTTTGTTTTGTCAGAGTCTTTGCTAAGCCTTTTGTTTCTTTGATATGCTTTAATCCTAAGAACAACTCCACAAGGAATATAACCACCATTTTCAAGGTCAGGAATCTTATAGAGGGGGTTTTCACAACAGAGTGAGGGTTGGATGAGTTTTCTCTCTCCCTCCAAAGTCAGGATAAAGAAAAAATAGCCTGCCCTGGATGGTGTGGCTCAGTGGGTGAGCATCATCCCATGCACCAGGACACCAGTTCCATTCCCAGTCAGGGCACAAGCCTGGGTTGCGGGCTTGGTCCCCTGCTGCCAATCAACGTTTCTATCTCACATTGAAATTTCTCTCTCTCTCCCCCTATCCCTTCCTCTCTAAAATCAATAAAAACATATTTTTTAAAAAAGAAAAGAAAAAATAGCCAGAGGTCATCGTATCCCCTACTGCCACCTCCATGACTTTCTGTCCATTCACCTCTTCATTCATTTATTAACTCCAAAAGTAAGTTTCTACTTTGTTCAAATTCTCTACTTAGGTACTGTGCTCAGAAGGAGCACTCTGAAGAAAATGAAGAATGCCTGTCCCGCTGCCCATTCCTCCTGGAATCCCAGAGGTCACCAGCAATGCATTGTCTTTTCCCCCTTTCTAGATGTGGGATCCTTGTATTAAGGAAGACCCTTAGTTGCAATGAACAAAAACCTAGCTGAAACCAGCTTAAGCTGGAAAAGGGGATTTATTGGATCCTTTAAAAAAAACCAAAAACTCAGAGTCATCAGACTTGGCTGGTTCCAGGTGGAGGTTAAATGGTGTTGCCATGAAACTGCCTTTCTCGGCTCAGCAATGGTCCATGTTGGCTTCCTCCCCAAGCAGGTTCTCCATTTGTGAGAGCAAGATGGCTTTCAGCAGCTCCAAATCCATATCTTGCTAACCTGACAACACCAGCACAGTCTCTTTCCAGAATCTATTGACTCTGATTGGCCAAATCTGGGTTACAACCCCAGTCCTGAACCAATCAATGTGACTCTGCTTGGCTGGACCTTGCTTCAGTGCTCTCTAGTGGAAGGGGAGGTTGATGGTAGCCTCTCTGAACCCCACGGACTGAGAGAAGGGGAGGGGTGGTCCCCCAAAGGAAACTATTACCAAGAAAGGGGGGATTGGGTGTTGGTCAACTCAAAACAACAGATTTATCAATCATAGTCATACAATAAATACCTCCATCCCATTTTCTAATATCCCTTATCCCTAAATCTGACAAATGACCACCTTCTGTGTTGAACTAACATTTTGTGAGTACTCCCGATGTTCCAGGTACTTTGTTAAACACCTTCCTGACAAGATCAAACTTCCTAGCCACTTGCATTTTATAAATGAGTTAAAAACAGGCTCAGAGAGATGAAAGCAATTACCAAAAGTCACACAGCAAGTGGCAGAGCTGGGAGTTCAGTCTAGGTCTGTCTGCTTTAAAAGCTGAAGCTTATAGCCAATTATTATGCTGCCTCTTGGGACTGCTCCCTGATTTGTTCCACTTCGGGGCAGCTCTAACTCTTAAGTTCCTGTGCATGTTAGGTCAAATTAGGGACCAGGCCTTGGTTTCCCCATACCTAATATGGGGAAATTTGGACTGGCTCTTGGTTAAGGCTCCTCCCAGCTCCCATAAAATAAAGGACCTAGGGAGTGTTTAGGCTGATTAGCTCAGGGGTGAGGAAACCCAGGAACTGGAGTCATTTGTCATTTCAAAGGCCTCTCTGAAGAGGTTACTTTTTTATTTTTTATCCTCCCTTGAGGATGTTTATTGATTTTTATTATTATTATTTTTTTTTTAGGGAGAGAGAAACATCAATGTGAGATTGGTTGCCTCCCATACATGCCCCGACTGGAGATCGAACCCATAACCTATTATGTGCCCTGACTGGGACGACACTCTAACCAAGTGAGCCACCCAGCCAGGGCTAAAGAGATTACATTTAAGATCAGCGGTGAATGGGAAAGAAGAAACCCAGCCATGTAGAAATCAGGGCAACCAGCTGGGTGTAGCTTGTGGTTAAGCATCGACCTAGGATCCAGGAGATTGTGGTTTGATTCCCAGTCAGGGCACATGCGGGGTTACAGGCTCAATCCCCAATCGGGGGTGTGTAGGAGGCAGCCGATCAGTGACTCTCTCATCATTGATGTTTCTATCTTTCTCTCTCCCTCTTCCTTCCTCTCTGAAATCAATAAAGATGTTTTTTGGGGGTTGTTTTTTTTTTTTTTATATCTTTATTGATTTCAGAGAGAAGAAGGGAGAGGGAGAGAGAAAGATGGAAACCTTAATGATGAGTCATTGATCCGCTGCAGCCCACAACCCGGGCATGTGCCCCGACCGGGAATCGAACCCCGATCTCCCGGATCCCAGGTCGACACTCAACCACTGAGCCACGCCCAGCCGGGCAAGGTGTTTTTTAAAAAAACAAAAAACAGGGCAAAAGAACATTCCAGATGAAGGGAATAGTAAGACCCTAAGGCAGAAATAAATTTGGCAGTTTAGAAAAACAGAAAAGGGATCCATGTGGCTGGAGCTGACCTGTTCCCCACAGACCCAAAGGGCAGAGCTGGGGTAAGTGGGTGAAGAGTAGAGAGACTATGAAGAAAGAACTTGGCTAAAAGCAGAACCAGCCAGCAAGGAAAGGGGCAGACTTGGAAGGGAGTGTCTGGCTCTCAGAGGCCCCTGTGAGCAGAGCCCAGGTCATACCAATTCACAACTACTGCCCAGGAGATGCCAGGATTTTGTGATTCTTAGTCACCCTTTTGTTCCCTCCAAAATTTTTTTCTAGAACTTCTCTGTTTGCACAGAAGGCTCTCTTGGTGCTTTGCAAAACTCAGAGTAAACACCCAGGGACTAGAGTTGGTGTGAAACCCTTTTTTTCAGACATGGCCAAATAATACCTAGGCCTGGACACTTTTTCTTCCTTTCTGTCTGTGTTGTTTCTCACGAGGACTTCCAGGGACTCCTCTACAACAGAAGGAATGTGGTGTGCCAAAAATAAATATCAGGAGTAGGCAGGACTTTAGAGATCAGCCTACCTAGTTTTTCTCCTAGAACCCCAACACCCTTGCCCCTCAAAATTATGGTGTCTATCAGGAGGTAACTAGAGACCAATTGCTGATTTTTTTTTTCTTTCATTCCTTCATTCAGTCGACTAACATGTATAATTTTATAATTTTATGTATTCATAGTGGTTTTGAGGAGATGAACTAATGATGTCATCCCCTGTGTAAACCCCTTTAGTGGCTTCCCATTGGTCTTAGGATAAAGGCAAAACTCTTCTGCACTATGAGCCTACAAGACCCTGCCTCTTCTGGCCTACAGGACTCCTTTTGCCCTATAGGACTCCTTGCTTTCTGTGCTGCAGACACTCCTGCTTTATTTCTTTTGAATTCTCCATACTCCCTTATGCCACAGGGCCTTTGCACATGTCCCTTCTATCTGAAATGTTCTCTTTTGCTCTTTACCTATACATTTCCAATAATCCTTCAGAACAGGTTCTGGCCAGGTTTACTTCCTCAGAGAAAACCTCATTGATTAGGTCAAAGCCACCTATTATAAACTTCCATAACATCAAGCAACACCTCACCTTTATCTCCAACCAGTCAACTGCGTGGGTATGTGACTCACGTAGTCACAGGGTCCTGTGCTTAGAAGAGCCCAATGCTTAGTTTAGTGCTCTGCTCTCACCAACTTGAAATTATCAGTTTTTAAACAAGGGGTCCCACATTTTTATTTGTAGTGCTCCTCCCCAAGCAAGTTATATAGCTGGTTCTGGTCTTAGTTGCAATTTTGTTTGTGTGACAATTTGATTAATGACTTTATCCCTGACTATACTGTGTGCTCTAGAAGGGGTTGTATTTGTTTTTTTATATTTTTATCCCTATCACCTATCGCAGTTCCTGGCACACAGTTGGTGCTCAATAAGTAATCATTGAATGAGTGAGATTCTTTTAGGACGTCAGCATTTGGTTAGGAGGGTAAGTGTGTCATTCACACTGCTCCTTCATCTCCTCAAAGACAGTGATTCCGTTCCCACGGTGTCCAGCCCAGGGCCTGGCAGGAAGGGAAGGGAGATTGGGAGGCTTCCTGGGGCAGGTGGCATTTGAACAGGACCCTGAAAGGAGAAATAAGGATTGGTGGAGACAGGAGTGCTTGGGCATTCCTGAGGGAGTAGCATAAGCAATGGTAGTGGTGTGTGATTTAGGAAAGAGGCTCCAATGTCATTGTGTCTCCATCTGTCAGGAGAGGGTATAGTGGTGTGTGTGTATGGGTATATTATGAATTATGAATTCAGGGATTAGATCCCAGAAGTTCTTCATCTGTCCAGGAGTCAACTGCTTTCATGCTCCTTTTTTATCCATTCATTTAGCAAACATGCACTGAGTTCCTGCAGTGTACCAGACCCTGTTCTAGGTGCTAGAGATACAGTGGTGCCCACCACCCAGCTCTCAGATCAGTTCAGGGATCAGAGAAGTTCATGAATACAGGGGCTGGAGGACCATAGCAAAGGTACCTCACCTGTCCTGTGGAGTTAGGGTCAGACAATGGGAGAGAACCAAAGGAAGTAAGAGAATGACTAGCCGGGTCAGGCCATGAGGGGCATTGTAAGCCACGTTGAGGGGTTAAACTTGATCTTTAATAACGGGATGGCATTGAGAGGTTTGAAGCATGTATTAGGCAACTAGTGTATAAGGTTCTGTGCTGGGCAATTTCACACACTAATTTATTTAGTCCGATTGCTAATCCTCTGAGCCTAAATGAATATCCTCATTCCCACTCCACAGATGAGAAAACTGTGGTCAGATTTGTGTTTCAGAAAGATCCCTCTGATTCTACTAGAGAGTATGGATTGGAGGAGGCCAGGTGGGAAGCTGGGAGGGCCTATGAGGATGTCAGTAAATGGGCTAAGGTAGGGGCTGCAGGGATGGAGAGAAAGGATCAGAGGAGGAATGGGCAAGATTTGGTGACTGACTGGACAAGGGGATAAGGGATGCTGTCCAGATGATGTCTGGGACTCTGTCTCAGGTGCCTGGGGTGGGGGACATCCCTAAGATGAGGAACAATGAGACAGGAGGTTTGGGAGTCAGATGCCAAATTCCATTTTGGATGTCCTAATCAAAGACAGTTCTTGTCCCAAAACAGGAAGCAAAGAAAAAACCACACGGGCAAACTCCACGAGTTGGCATTGCTGCTACCCTTGGCCCCAAAGATGAGTAGCAAGAAGTTTACCAAGGTAGGTGGACTGGAGAGGAGGTGGATTTGGGAGGTAGATTTTAAAATATGGGTAAGCAGGTCAACTTCCTTTGTTCTGAGAAATCTAGACAGACCTTTTCAGTGACAGCACTAGATGGGAATTGTTCTGCTCTGAATGGGAATTCTGTGAGCCCATGACTGTGGGATTCTTTCTCACAAAGGAGGCAGGGGGAACTGGGAGGAAAAAATAAGCAAGGAGCCAGGTAAAGGTCATTGCTTTGGGAGTCAACCAGCTATGGGTCCGAGCCCTCCAGCTCCACAACTGCAGAACCCTGGGCAGGTGGCTCAGGTTATGAGCCTTTCAAGTTTCGTGTTTCTCAGCTGTAAAATGAGTAAAGATAACTCCTCCTACCCAGAGATATTGTGAAGCCAAAATGATATAATAACCATGACAAGCCCTGAATAAATTTTGGTTCCCACCCTGTTTTGTGACCTGTGGGTATGGCCTCTACCAGGTAGAAACAGATAAAGCTTCTCTGCATGTCCCTATTGGCTACTCAATAAATGTAGGTAGTGCTGAGCTAACACCTCACTCCCAGTGAAAACAACTTACTGTGAGACTCAGAGATCTTGAAGGCTTTGCAAGATGTTTTCTTGCTATAGTTCCTCTTATTCAGTCACTTATCTATTCATTCATCAGCCATTTATGGGAAAATTGTTGGATGTCAGATATTTTATGGTTGTAACAAGGGGAGGCAAATAAATTTGAGACCCAGTCCTCATCCTCTGGGAACTCAGAATCTGGTCAGGAAGATAAAGGTTTGAACACAGGAGTAACTGATCCCAGCTGGAATGTGCTACTTGCCTCCAGAGAGGTTCAGAGGAGCAGGTGCTTTGGAAAGATTTGTCAGACACTAACCCTAAGCTTCTCCCTGCCTGTCACATTCCATCAGTCCCCAGTCATGTTGATTATCCCCATTAAATATCTCTCATAAGTGCTTGTATTAGTTTCTTGTTGCTAATGTAACAAATTACCACAAATTTAGTGGCTTAAACCAACACATTTATTCTCTTACAGTTCTGGAGGTCAGAAGTCCAAAATTAGTCCACTGGTCTAAAGTCAGGGTGTCAGCAGACTTGGTTCTTCTTGGAGGCTCCAGGGGAGAATGTGTTTCCTTTTCCTTTGCCAATTTCTAGAGGTCACCCATGCTCTTTGGCTCATGGCCCCTTCAAAGCCAGAAGCATAGCATTTTCAAATCTCTCCTTCTCTCTCTTTGCTTCAAAGTCATTTCACCTTCTCTGCCTTTGACCCTCCTGCCTCCAGCTTATAAGGAACCCTGGTGATTACAATGGGCCCACTGAGGTAATCCAGAATAATCTCCCCATCTGAAGGTCCTTATTCAGTCACATCAATCACATCTGCAAAGTCCCCTTTGCCATAGAAGGCAACATGTTCACAGGTTCCGGGGATCAGGACCTGGACAGTTTTAGGGAGAGGTATTCCACAGACCACCACAGTGCTCAGAAATACTGGAGGGATTTGGTACTCTATCTTCAAACATTCAAGTATTTGGTGCACATAGATGCTGTCATAAGCTTTGGGCAGGGAGAGCAGACATGTCTGGGACACAGTTCCTTCTCTGGAGGATGACATTCTAGTCAGGGGACAGGCATCATTTTATCACTGACCAGATGGCCACATCTCCTCATGGAATACTCCCCAGGTGTCAGCCTGATTTCTTTACCATTGATTCTCTACTGTGCTAAGGATCCCTCTTCTTCCCCATCTTCATCCTTCCTTAAGCTTATTCCTGGGGCCCCTTCTCAAAGGAGGAGATGCCAGGAGAGGGAATGCGTGGGAAGAAGAGGAAGGCTTTACAGGAAGAGAACACAGCGTGTGCAAAGGGCCAAGGGTGGGAAGCTGAACAGTGTGTGCCAAACACCTGGACCGGGAGGCAGGCAGACCTGGCTTTAGATCTCACCTTGGCCACTTCCTCTCTGTAACCTTAGCAAGTCCCATTACACTGAGCCTCTGTTTCCTTAGTGGTAACCACTACCACGCTGGGCCACAATGAAAACTAGCAAAATAGGAACGTGTCTGTCAAAGGAGGAATTCTTTGGGTGGGGACTGGGGTCCTAGAACCTTCCTGCCTCATGTCTCGGGCCCCCACTCTTGTGCATAACCCTAACTTTCTTTTGTGGGCAGAAGGAGATCCTGCAGCACATTCTGCACTACATTCAATACCTCCAGAGAAACATCGATGTGGCCAAGGCCTTACTCAAATTCCACACCAGCAACAGGGAAGGTGGAATTGGGGGTAAGTACGTTCAGCCCACGTTTCCCAGGGCCTGCTACAAGTGTTGTCCTGAGGTCAGGGACCCTGAGTGACTTAGACATTCCAGGCCCTCTTGGATCTCAAAGACTTACAGAGGGACAAAGTCAGAAGAGGGTGTCTGGGAAGACTGTGGGGGAGGGGTCTTGGAGCTGGGCCTCTGAGGATAGTAGAAGGGGGAAGAAACAAGCAGAAGAAACAACCTGAACAAGAGCTTGCAGTCATGAGAAGACACATGTGGAATGTTTGGGCACAGGCAAGCAGTTGGGTGTGGTTGAAGGGACAGTGTAGTGTCCAGATGACAAGCGCAGGCTCTTGAGCCAGATTCTGGCTCAGATACAAGTCATTACCTTAACCTCTCTGTGCCTCCGTTTCCTCATCTGCAAAATGGGACCGAAGCTAGTGCTTCCCTCCTGTGTTTGTCGTAAAGATTAATGAGTTAATACACGTAGGGAGTATTGTAACACAGTACCTGGAACATGCCAGTCATCCAGCACTCTATGTGCTGGGTGCTGTCATTACTGATGTAAAAAATACACAGGAAAGAAGGGTAGGAGGTGAGGCAGAGATGAGATCCTGAAGTGCTTAGAGTGTTTGGCTGAGGAGGGAGATGAAGATGAGACTTACTGAAGGACTTTAAGCCATAAACCGGATTTTTTTTTTTTTTCCAGAAAGAGGTCTCTAACATCTAGTGTGGAGAGTTGGTTATTAAGTGAGAAACTAGGGTCAAGGAGATCAGTGAAGATACTAGTCAGGATGATCCAGTCAGGAGACGATGAGGCCCAATCTGGCACTGTAGCTGAGTATAGACAGAAGTGGGTACATTTGGGAGATGTTAATGAGGAAGAACTGAGAGACCTGAGGGTGACCCAGGATAAGTGGTGGAACCCTCACTGTCTTGAGGAAGGTAGGAGGAGGAATTAGTTTGGGGTGGGGAATATGGGGACAAACTTGGAAAGCACTGAGTCTGTCTTCCCTCGAGGCCAAGGCCCAGAGTGGCCCTGAGGAAACCCCAGGGTTCGCCCTGTACTTTTGCTGCCTGAGTGTGAGACCTCAGACAAGTCTGATCTCCTCCTGGGACCTCAGTTTCCACTTTGTAAAGTTAGCCTATGGACTGTGGCAGACCATCCCCCACCCTGCCAGGATTGGGAAGCATTGTCTGGGAGGATTTGGAATGGCATGAGGGTGAAGGCATCTGACCTGTCTCCCTCTTTGTCCTGTGCAGGGCTGGGCCGGAACTCCTCTGTGGGCTCAGCAAGGCAGAGACACTTCACTCCACCTAGCTCCCCACACTCTTGTAAATCCTGTCTTTGGGGATCCTCTCGGAAACCTAGGAAGAAGCAGCTGACCCGAGCATCAGGTATAAGCTGTCAGTGGAGGGAGAACAGGACGTTGGGGTCAGATGGAAATGGGGCTCCTTCTCCAGGACCATCACACTCCTGGGAGGCCAAGTCAGCAATCCTGAACCCCTGACAAGGCTTTAGAGTCAGACATGCCTGCGTTCAATTTCTGGCTCCTCTTACTAGCTCTGAGACCTGGGGTGGTCACTGTCCTCTCAGCCTCATCTTCCTCATCTGGAAATTGTAGTTCCTGCCACAGGGTGGTCTTAAGGATTAGGAGCCTGAAAATGTATCGTTCAAGCTATGCTTAAGTGGAGAGGCACAGGGTCAGTGTGCAGCAAAGGGAAGCTGCTGTCAGCATTTATTGTCTTTATGGCCAGTAATCCATCCTTGGGCCAGGGCATCAGGGAGCATGGGCATCAGGGAGGAAAGACCTAAAGGAGATACCAGCATCCTGGGTCTGGCCTCAGCCTTGCTATAACTCACTACCTGTCCCTTCTCTTTCCTGGGCCTCAGCTTCCGTGTCTTTAAGATGGGAGTTGGACCTAATCAATGATTTCCAGCCATGGTTGCACATCTGAATCATCCAGGTGCTTAAAAAAATGCTTATGCCTGTGTCTTATACCCAGAAAGTTGGCTTTCAGTGGTCTGGGGTGCAAGCTAGGCTTCAGTATTTTTTCAACGCTTACAAGGTGATTCTAACCTGTAGGGAGGGGAAGGAAGCATTAGACTAAGTGATCTGTAACTGAGGATCTGGGCTTACCCTGAAACACTGATGAGTGACCAGGCCAGGCACAGCTTTGAAATAGGTGGTTAGGCCCAGAGCAAAGAAGACCCCCATCTGAGCCATCTTCTGGTGACACTCAAGCCCCCAGCCCCACCTGCTTTTGTATCTCGGCTGTCCCAGAAAGCCAGAATGGGCCCAGAACCCTTGTTGCTGTCTGGCCCTGGACAAGCCCAAGAAGCAGGTGACCCCATCCCAAGACCAGAAGGGAGGAAATGTGGAGGGGACTCCTCCAAGATGCCCTGATTTCTACATTCACCCCTATGGCTACATCAGCCTTGCCTCAAGGTGACAGAAATGGAAGAAGATCCCAGCTGACATTGCTGGATGTGGCCAAGAACAATGTCTACTGTGACATCTCAAGCTGGTCTTCCCTCACCATTAATTTAGCCAGTCATTTATATACCACTTATTAGGCATCCACAATATCCGGGCACAGTCCTAGCAGCTGGGGCTTCAACAGTGCACAAGAGAGACACTGTCTCTCACTTCACACTATGGTCTCTTTTCCAGTTTCCTTTTCCCTTCAGGGTGTAAGGGTGGGACAGGGTTAGTGCCACCCTTGTGCAAGAGTTGCAGTGGCAGAACTGGGATTAAGAGCAGGGCCTCCTCATGAGACTTCACTTGATGCAGCCAACAATCACTTTAGGGCACCAGATTCAAAAGGTGTGATGGCTCACTCAGCAGAGAGTCAGGTGAGAAAGGGGGCAAGTGAAGTCAAACCCTGGAGATATTCTATCCTCTATCCATTTGTTCATTCAGCCTTTACTCCCTGAGCATTGCCTCTCTGCCAGGCCATGTCCCGGGTGCTGGCAACAGTTCAGTGAAGGAGTTACACACTATCACTTGTGGTCCAGAGTGGTCCCAACTTCCTGGGGTCCTGTGGGACCCAGAGGAGATGCCTGACCCATCTGGGGAGGGAGCGCTTCCCAGATCGGCTAGTTGTGTAACTTTGGGCAAGTTACTTAATAGCTCAATGCCTCGGTTTACTTAACTGTAAAGTGGGGGTAATAATGGTACTCTCTCACAAAGGGTTGCTGAACAGTATGCAAAATGCTTAACACCGTGCTGCCTTGGTAAGCACTTTGTGTTCTCTAACATCTTCATCGTCATTATTCTACTTAAGGATTTTATCTTCCTTGCAGCTTCTGATAAAGGAGTGGGATTCCAGAAACCTAGTGGTGATTTGGGTTGCCCCTGAGCCTCATGCAGAGGTCCCAAAGCTTGAGGTTTTCATAGGATGGGGCGGGAGAGGCTGTGGCAGACCCTGACACCTCCTCATCCCTGCATCTGGGAGTCTGGAGTTCATCCCAGTCACAGGAGTTATCACCCTGAATTGCCTCCTTAGGTTGCTGTTGCAAAAACAATGCCCAAGATGATGGGCTTTACCCTGCCTTGGGGACCCAGCAAGGGGCTGAGAGGACCTGTTTTCTCTACAGAACACAGCTCTATCCCAGGTAAGGGAACCCTGAGGGCTCTGAATGGGGAAGACTGAGGTGTTTGGTCTTCAATGGCTTAGGGGCAGTAAGAAATGAGGCTGATTTATATCCTCTGCTGGTGTCTGTGGAAGGAGCACTGCTCTGGGCCCAGCTTTCTGAAGACATCATAAGCTCAGAGGAGAGATGGGCTCCAGCCTCTCACCAGTCTCCCTGCTTCCCTTCTCACTCTTCCAGGTCATCCTTCGTAGTCACACAAACCATGACCACGTCAGTTCGTGGCTTAAAGCCCTCCCTCAGAGCCCAAATATCTTCATTGGCACTTGAGAACTCTGGCTTTAGCTCACTTTGATAGCACCCTCTCCTGCCCCTCACCCATGAATCTTACCCTTAACACCTCCAAATACCTGCCACTCCTCATGGGAACCATGCCCTTTCCCCCCTGGGCTTTTCACCCAGGGGTGGATCCCTCTCCCCTGCAAGCCTGGTCCCCTCACCTATCTGGAAAACTACCTCCTTCAGGCCAATCTCAGTGCTGTACTCCCTCCTCCCCTACTCACCTGTCTGACCTCCCCAAACCCACCATAACTGAGTGGTCAGTGCCTGATTACAGCTGCCTCTTCTCACAAACCTTGAAGCTCTGTGAGGGCAGCACCTCAAACTGACTAAGCTTTCTGCCCCCAGCACCCTGCCAGTAGCCAGCACAGAGGGATCCCTGTCTTCCATGGGCAACACTGAGTCACCCAATGGAGGACAGCTCACCCAGGGGCACAGCAATTCCTAGCCTAGGGCTCTGGCTCAGGCTCTGCCTCTTGAATTTCACCTCTTGCAGGTACAAGCTGGTGTTCTATGATTCTAGCGAGGAAGTGGACAAGGAAGCCCCAGATGCTGACCCTTGGCTTCCTGCCTGGACCCCCGAGGGCAGCCCCAATGGTGACTGAAACTCTGTTTCCTTCTTTATAGGCTGATGTGGGCCTTCTCGGTGCCTTCCTTCTGAGGATTTCAGTGGAAGGGAGGGAAGTGGGAAAGGGAATGAATGTCTGCTAAGCACAGGGATGGCAAACACACAGAGTATCCACTGGCACTAGCTGTCGGTTGCCGTGGCAGACATTGCTAATCAAGCATCACTGTTTCTGGTGATCCCAGACACTACCTCAGAATCTTTCTTAACATAGAGCTCCAGGTAGCTACAATCATTCTATCAGATCTGGCACATTATGATACTTATTTTTTTGCCATCCCTGACATAATGCCAGGCACTGTGCCTCTTAATTTCCTCTACCAAGCACTCAAAATGAGCAGTTGACAGTCATCTTTCCTTAGTGTCTGGTACCATCTCCTCAAAGCCAGCTGGGGGAGAGGGAAATTTGTGACCATACCCCCAAGCCTGATGTTTCCTTTTCAGGGAGCCCACTGGCTTTGGGGCCTCCCCAGGCTGACAACTGGAGTGTGATGGGCCACCCGAGTGAGATCCTAGGTCTCAGCCCTTCCCTCTTCAGCTCCCCAGGGAAAATGCTGCCAGAACAGATCTTGGAGGATGGCAGCGAGTACCTGACCCAAGGTGAGCATGCAGGGCTGGACCTGATGCTTGGTTCATTCAGAAAACAGATGGTGATGCCCACCAAGTAAGTGCGCAGCCCTGTGCTGGGCAGTTCTGGACACCCAGGGATGAATGCCATCTGGGCCCTGCCTCGAAGAGCCCAGAGCCTAGTAGAGTGGAGCCCCAGGCCAGTGTGGGGAGTGGGAGGCCCCAGGAGCCTGCAGCAGGGACCCACTTGCTCTGCCCAGGTTGGAGGTGGCCCAGGGGAGCTGGCTGGGAGCTAGATTTGGACTTAGGGGAGGAGATCCAGGAACCTAGAGAGTGGCACTCTGGCTAGCAGGCTGGTGGGACAGAGGCCTGGTGCACTGAGGGAGGCATTTATGTCCCAGCCAACTCTCTGGCTTCTCTCCCTGGCAGCTCTCTTTGAAGAAGTTTTCTTAGATCCTGTGTCTTCACCTTCTTCCTGGATGCTGGAGGTACCACAGAAGAAGGTAGGCATCTCTCCACCCATCCATCCATGGACATGGCCATCCTTTCCACAGGTATCACTCACCTGCTTGATTCACTCACCCATCCCCTAGACCTTGTCAGAGACTCATTTGCTCATCCTTTGAATGCTCACTGCTGGCCACCAGGTATCTACTCTGTGCTGGGCACTTGGAATGAACTAGACACAAAGGATGAAAGCTAAAAAGCTGCTAGGTACCCATAAAAGACCCCATGTAATTTTACAACTGCTCTATGAGACAGGGTCTCTGTGATGACCTCATTCAATAGAAAATAGAGCAACCCCAGGAATCCTCAGTTGGAAAGAGCTCCTTCCCAGAGCCCCTGGGTGACCTCTGTAGCTACTGTCTGCTCCAGGAGCTCACTGTCCAAAGGGGCAGCCCCAACCCTGGTCTCCAAACTATTCTTTCTCCCGTATGTGTGTGGGGGGTTGGGGCCTCTGTCTCAATGAGTAGTTGAATGGGCAGTAAAAGCAAAAATAGATACCCTTAGTGGAGCCCTTAGTAAGTGCCAGGCACTGAGCTAGGTGCTTCTCAGTCCTTCAAGACAAGCAGTGAACACTATTCTGTAAATGAAATTGATGCTTAGAGAGGTTAATACTTGCCCAGGGCATCATGGCTACCATGTGAGGTGGTAAACTGATGGGATTAAGAGGTACTGCCCCAGAATAGGAAGCAGAAGACCTGAGTCCAATAGAGCTCCTCTCTGACCCCTGTGGGAACTTGGGAACATTTGTTTGAATATCCAGGGGGGTGTTTGGACAAGGTTGTCTTGAATCTGAGCTGTTTCTCATGCTCATTTCCTAGGAAAGCAGTGAATTGGAGCAGGAAGAGACACCACTGTCTCCACTCACATCCCCTCCACCTTTCTCCTTCACCTCCCAGGACACACCCATTGAGGCCCCCGAAGACCTTCCTGACTCCCACAGCTTGTGCCAGTCCTCAGTGTCACTGGACCACCTCTCTCTGAGTGAAGACAGCCAGGCATCATCCATCCCCAGCTCTGAGGATATGGACACCGACAATGACACAGAGTTGGTGTGGAGGCAGCAGGTGAGGGTGAGACAGCCATTGAGGCTGGTCCCACCTCTCCTGCCCGCTCTCATCTCTCTGCCCCCTACCCAGGATGCTCAGGCCGACCCTGAGGACCTGAAGTCCACGAGTGATGAGGATGGAGACTACACTTGGACCCCCACCCGGCGGGTCTCGACCTTGCCCTCAGCCAGGAGGAAGACCGGGAAGGGCCAAGCAGGCAGGGGCCCAGTGAAGCCCAAAAAGAAGAAAGCCCCCTGCCCCACTCAAACAAAGAAAAAGTGTGTCAATGGCTTCATCATGTTCTGCAGGATGAACCGGAAGCAGTACATCCGGTGGGTGGGGGTCCTCTTTGGCCACCTGATCCCTAGAGCATGTTGCCCCGCTGCTGTCTGACACATTGGGCCCATTCTCAGCCATACTCTCCCCCAGCATCTCACCTGGCCCCAGAGCATTGATCAGGGCCTGTCAATTGTAAGCAGCAAAACCCACTTCAGACTTAAGAAAAAAGGAAATTAATTGGCTTATATAACCTGAAAAAAGGGAGGGGTTGATTGGGTTCAGATGTGGTTGATCCAAGGGCTCACCGGATGCTGTCTGGAATCCTTGTCCCTCTCTTGGTGCCACTCTCTTCCAAGGGCTTCATTCTCAGGCAAGGGGGGCTGGGTGGGGCAAGGCCACCCCTGGGAGGTCCAGGCTCATTTCCTGGCTACCATCCTAGCAACCGTATGAGAGGAGAGCTCCTTGTGTCTAAGGTTTCAAGAAAAAGTTCTTGGGTCCGACTTGGTAGATCAGGAGCCCAACCCTGAACCCATCATTGCCAGCCTGAAGCCAAGGGATGGGAGGCCCGCAGGCCACAGCAGAGAAGAGCTGGTGCCCTTACAGGAAGATCCAGGGGCTGATATTGGGAGCAGTGGACACAGGACCCCTACAGGTCTCGGGACACAGGTGTCACCGTCCCAACAATTTAGTCAGCCCCCTTTTTAATGCCTCAGCTCCAGGGTGTGTAATGGAGGCCTTTCAGGATATCTAACATGGGTAGGAAAGATCTGAGTTCTCAAAGGGAAAGTTGAGGCTCTGAGAGGGCAAGGGAGCTTTCATGGTCAGGTCAGACCGTTGTCCTTTGCCCGAGCTAGGCTGCCCTGCAGGCCTCTCCTTACCTCCTCCCTCCTGTCCCAGAGCCTGCCCGGGGACCGCATCCACGGCTGCCACCAAACAGCTGGCCCAACTCTGGCGGGAGATGACTGAGCAGGAGCGGAGACCATATAGGTGAGAAGCCCAGCGGCATGGTGCTGGAGCAGAGGGCCTCCTGCTCCTCAACCCTGCTCTGCTTGTCAGAGCCTTGAGCTTCATGAGAGTGGAAACAGCTGGGAGTTTACTGGGGTGGGAGATTTGGGCGTTGCAAACTTTTATGAAATATTTGGGAGTGACAGAGGTAGAGAAGTGGTCCACCTTGGAGCTTAGAAGGGTAAATAGCTTAATTTGGGATTTGAACCCCACTGCCCTAAATTTCTTTTGCCCTCTCTGCCACAGGGAGTTTCTCAAAGCAGGAAACTGGGTCTTCCTTTTCGCTTGGCTTCCTCCTCTCTCCCCTCTTCTCTCCCCTCCCTTCCCGAAACCCCCTCCTCTTCACCATCTATGGAGCTGCCACCTGCCTGTTTCTCAGTTGGCCCTTGAAACACACCTCTGTGTGCACAGATTTTAACAGGAGTGTGGGGCTTCAGCAAAGAGCCCTTGATGGAGTCCCATTGTAGACCGGGACTCGGAGGCCTAGAGGTTTGCCCGCCCTGTGGGACCAAATAAAGCCCTGGCCTACCCTTCAGCTCAGGCTCTGGCCACTACTGGGGCCAGAGCACTAGCGGTGAGGCAGAGAGCCTGAGAGGCCAGTGAGGAACCCACCTGTCCTACTGCCTCCCCGCAGCATCAAAGCTCGAAGGTTCAGCCGCCAGCACAATCGGATTGTGAAGCAGGAAAGCTCCAGCAGCGAGGATGAGGACTGGGGGGTACCCAAGCCCTTCTACCAGCTGCTGGCAGACAGGGCCCGCTGTTCCTCAGAGTCGGCTTCTCAGCTGCCTTCTCACCACAAATGAGGGTAACTCCACCTCACCTCTTCTCCCTCATCACCTTGCAGCTCCTACAGCTTGTTTGAAACCAGGAACCAATGAAGATGTTGCCCCCTCCTGGGCCTCAGCCCTGATAGGCAGGTCCCCTTCACCACTTCCCATGGGCTGGGAGGGGGCGGATTTATTGACCCCATAGCTTTGTGTATTTGCCTTGTACGTGGGCAGCTGAACTCTGCCCTTTTCACAGCTCTTTTCTACCCCCAGGAAGGAAGCCCTGAATGAAATGCAGGGAGAAGTTAAGGAGAAAGGGCTCCCCTCTGACCTGCTTTTGTCCACCCCAGAATCAAATGGTTTCAACCCTGTTCATTCTCACCTTATCCTACTCCCTCCCCTGTTCTATTTATAGATTATTTATTGTTGCCAACAAAATAAAGTGGAACCCTTGTTACCAGCAAGGGAGACTAGGGAGGCTGCCCTGGTCCCCTGCTCCCTCAGCCCTGGGGCCACTCCTACCCTGGATCTCGAAGTCACAAGGTCTGTAGTTTGAAAGAAACCGCACTCTCTACACCACAAACCTCACTTCCAAGCTCATCCCCCTCAGGGTGCAGTGATCAGAGAGCTAGAATCTCAAAATGGGCTTTGTGTGGTTCAGGTTTTTCTTTGGGCAAGTTATTTGGAAAGTAACCCACACTCCTGGAGGCTTTCGTTGTCTGTTAACTTTAATTGAAATGTAAGCATAACATGTCCTAGAAAAATAAAGATTTAGGATACAAACTAGACACGGGGGTCAAGGTTGTCCCACGGGTGAGGGGATCTTTGGTCTGGGACTGGACGTGATAACGAGGGCTGCAGTCCAGGGGGAGTTAATTGATCCTCGCCCAGGCCTCCCCACACCTGCATCTTGTTGCAGCAGAAGGGCCCAGCTGGGAGGCTGTCAGTCCCTGGGCAGAGGACTGCCGGTCCTCCACCCTTGGATTCCAAGCAGTTCTGAGAACTCTGGAGGTCAGTGGAGCTATTAATAGTGTTTTAGGGAGTGATAGGGAGAGGGCTCAAGGGGATTGGAAATCCAGCCATTTGGCAGGGTTTTCAGCTCACAGCTCGTACCAGGTCAAGGGGGGCAGAGCCCCTAAGTCAGGACCCCCAAGTCTCCCCATATATATGGGGCAGAACAATGAGAGGTCTGTAACAGAGGAGGCTTCCCATCCAGAGGGACGGTGCCCCTGGATAGGGAGTGGACGGGGGTGAGCCCCCCATAGGTCCAGGGCTTGGAGAGGTTAAGCAGCTGGAGTTGGGGTGTAGTGTGTGTGGAATCTTCATCAACAACTGTGTTTCTGAAAGGTTCCCTACTCCCAGCTGTCCTGGATCTCAAGCACCATTGTTAGGAGAGGCAATGAGGCCTGGCGGGGTCACAGTTCCAAGGGCTCTTCCACAGGCACTGACTGTAGCTGGGTCAGGACCTTGGTCTCAGCTTCCAGACCCTCATCAACCTCGCCCCCTGCCGTGGCCCCCAGCAGCAGCCCCTCAGGGTCAGGGTCTGGGAGCCTCAGCACAGTGTGGGGGGCCTGTGTCCCCAGCCCCTTCTCTGCTTCTAGCAGCCCCTCTGTGCCTGTGCTCAATTCCAGTCCTGATGGCCAGATGGGCACGGCTGCGGGTGACAGCATGAGGCCCTCAGGCGGGGGTGCAGGGAAGCCAGCCAGGAGACAGGAGGAGTCTGGGGAGAAGGGCAGGCTGGCAGCAATGGTGGCAGCAGGGGCAGGTGGTGGCTGTGGCAGCTGCTGTGCAGAAAGTGTGCCTAGGGCATGGGCCTCTGGGAGAGCAGGGCTGGGGGCCACGGGGAGGGCTCCTTCAGGTACTGAGATGGCTGTGTCTGGCTTCAGGGGCAGGGCCAGGCTGGGGCCAGGTGGCAGAACCTGGGAGACCAGCATGCTGGTGGGGAAGGTGGCAGTGAGGATGATCTTGCCCTGCTGCACTGCCACACCTGTCACAATGGGGCTGCCAGACACGGGGTTGGCCAGGAGGAAGTTTCCTGTTGAGGAAAGATGGGGAGGTACAGGGTTAGAGGGGGCAGCTGGCCAGGCACAGAGGTGGTGATTAAGCTGCTGGAGGGCAGGAGGAAGGAGATTAGTCAGAGGCAAACTGATCCCCCTGAGTGGAACCAAGTCCAGGTGGCTTGAGCCCCCACACAACCTGGCACAGGAGGTTTCTGGAACATAGCAGGGATGAGCTACCCCCACCCCCAAGACCACCAACAGCACCCTCCCACCCTGAGGTAACTACCCTTCACCCAGGCTGGAGGGAGGCAAAAGGCGGTACCTGGGGCAGTGGCAGAAGGCAGCTGCAGAGCAGTCACGCCCACCCCGGAGTTTATCAGGTGCACATTGGTGGGGCCCGCTGCAGCTGCCACCTTCACAGGGCTGCCTGGCCCAGCTGCCAATAGCTGCAGTGGCCCCACAGCCTGTGGCAGGGTTACCACCTGTGAGGTGGGCACCACCTGGGGCAGGTTCAACAGTGGGGAGGTGGGGCCCAGGCCTGCAGGGTACCCAGGGGGTGGGGAAAGTGGCACCACTTGTGGAGCAGCCACAGAAGGCACTGGTCCTGGGGGTAGAGGAAAGGCAGCAGCTGGTGGGGGACCAGGCACCACTTGGGGTAGAGGCCCTGGCACCTCCTCTCCAGGTGGTCCCAAAGCAGCCACCTGGGTCCCCTTGGTCTCAGGGGCCTCAGGCTGAGCCTCCTCCAGTCGAACCTCCCCGGTCTGAGGGTCCAGAACCAAGGAGGTCTTGCCCTCGCTGGGACCCGGGGGACTAGGTTGTGGTGGTGGGGCACCCCCACCCCCTGTGAGCAGCAGGGGGCCCAGGCTGGAGGCTTCACCCAGGGCCAGGCTGTTGATGATGACAGGGCTCCCATTGAGAAGCACTGCTGGTGAGCTGCTGGCAGCCAGGAAACTCCCGTTCACCAGGATGGAGGAAGACGCAGGGCATGGAGCAGGAGGGGTGGCCCCAGCCAGGAATATGGAGCCCTGGGCAGGCGCCTCTGCGGCCACTGGAGCCACCCCCCTCTCCAGGTCCTCAGGACTGCGGCTGGACTCATCCTCAGTAGTGGGGTTCCCATCAGACTCGCTGTTCGGAGAAAGGACTGAGTTGTGGCCCTGAATGCTGTTTCCCCACTGGCCAGCCAGATTCCTGCACAGAGCTGCAGGAGCCTCCCCATCTTTCCCCAGCCCCAATTTTGGGGACAATGCCTAGGGGTTATGAGACCTCCTCTCTGAGACCACCTAAGGACCCCAGGGACAGAGCCCCTGCAAGCCCTGCATCGACACCACTGCATAAAAGCTAAAGACCAAATCGGGAGGGAGGAGGCCAGAGCACCCAGTCTGCCCCAGTCTCCTGGGTCAGGCTGAAAGCAGCCCAGTGGCTTTGGAGAGCGAGGAGGCAGCAGCCTGCAGAGCTCCCGGTGCCCTCCTCCCAGGGCGTCAGAGAAGGGAGTGAGAGGCTGGCGCGCAGGGTGGGAGGGGAAGGGCTTGGGTTACAGGGAAACCGGAGCTGGGGAAGGTTCACGTTTCACAACAAAGACAGACGACGGACCACGCTGTTTGGGCCCTGAGGGGGGGGCGGGGAAGGGTGTGTGAGAAAGAGCCGAGGTCCAGGTAGGGCCCCGCAGCGCAGCAGCCAGAAAGAAGCCCCGACGCCGGGTGGGGTGGACAAAGGCCCCTCCCCCTTTCCCTGTAGCCCCTTTTTCTCACTGCCTCCCCAGTCTAACCACCCACACGGATGGGATCTAGGATGGGGCCGTGAGTGGAGCTGTGGGAAGAGGCCTCCCAGCCTCCGCGAAAGAAGCAGAGATGCTGGGGAGAGGGCCCCGGGAGTGTGCCCTTTGCATCCACTCCATTCCCCGCGCGCGGCGGGCGCCAGAGGGTGTGAGTGGGAGGCTCTGAGGAGTTCGCGCTGGCTGCAGCAGTGGCATGCGGGAGAAGGGGGCTGGTGGGGAGCACGTTCCTAGGAAAGCGGGACCTGTGCTGCCCAGGTCCCCTCACCTCTTGCAGGGCGCGCCGCCGCCGCCCCCAGTCCGGTCGCGCTGTCGCCGGTTCTTGAACCAGTTGCTGACCTGAGTGAGCGAGAGGCCGGTCAGCGTGGCCAGGCGGCGCTTCTCGTCCGGTGTGGGGTAGCGGTTGCCGCGATAGCAGGCCTTGAGCGCGGCGCGGGAGCGCTCCTTGAAGCAGTAGACGGTCTCCTCGCCGTCCCAGATGGTCTTGGGCAGCGGGAACTTCTTACGCAGACGGTACTTGTCCACTGCACCCAGCGCGCGGCCCCGGGCCCGCTCGGCCTCGTGGTAGCGCGCGCGCAGGTAGAGGTCCTGCAGGAAGGCGTGGTGGGCAGCGGGGAAGGGGCGGCTCTCCAGCAGCCGGTAGAGCTCCGCGTACTCGCCCCGCTGGAAGGCCACCAAGGCCCGAGCGCGCAACACCGGGTCGCTGCCACGTAGGCGCTCGGCCGGGGGCAGTGCGCCCAGGAAGCGGCTCAAGCGGCCGGCATGGCCCGCCTGTAGCAGCGCCTCGCAGACACAAGCCACCTGCTCCGGCGAGAAGCGGAGGCCCGTGGGCGGCTCGGCAGCGGCCTCGAGGGGCGACCCGGGGAC